TGGGGGTGGGGGTGGGGGGTGTGCAAGCCCCAAGGCCAAGTGCTGAAGTGCAGCTGAGTGTGGGGTGGGGTGGGGTGGAACAGAGACAAAACTATAAAGGAAACTAGGGCAGCCAGCACAATATAGGTGAAAGGACGTCGGTGTGGAGAGCTGTAGAGGTAAGAAGGGGGGAGGGCTTTGGAAAGCTTCAAAAAATTTTACCACCCAGCTTGGGGGGTGGCGGGAGAGAAACCTAGAGAGACGAGAAACACCAAGAGACTTGGAACAGAAAGCGGGGAGATGGTACTAGGAAACGGAGAGATTGGCTGGGGAAAGTGGGTCAGGCCGCTGGGGTGGGAGAAGAGAGCCCCCAGAGGCTGGGGAGAGCGGGAGCCTTCACTGGGACAGGAGTCCGATCCAGGTTGGCTGCTGACAGAGAGTTTATTTAGGGGCTGGGATGGGGGACAAAGACTGAGCAGTGGAGCTTGACTGCCTCAGCTCCAGGTCAGTGCTGCTCTGGTGCCGGCTCCGGTTCTTGCTCTTGTAGCTCCAGTTCCTGCTCCAGTTCCAGCTCCGGTTCCAGCTCCAGTTCTTGCTCGAGCTCCACTGTCTTGCTGGGAGCCTGGGGAAGGTGAATCCCGTTCTCCAGGGCAGGGAATCTTCTTGGTCGCCACTGTGGGAAGAAATCAAGGGCGTGGAGGGTGGAAGGAGGATTGAAGGAGGGGCACATTGAAGGAAGGCTCCCGAGTGTATCTGTACTCCTTTCCCAGTCCCCGGGCTCTCCCGCCCCTTGGTCCCAGGGCTGCTGTCAGTCCTTTCATACCTCTCTAGGCAGGGGAGGGCCCCTGGAGGGCAGAGACACATTCTCTGGGGATCTCCCTTGGGAAGAGGGGAGAGAGCATGGGGAGAGGGCCCTGGCTCACCCATCGTCTCCACAGGTGAAAACCCAAGGCTCCAGTCAGAGCGAGGAGCAGCAGCAAGATTCCCAGGATAAGGAAGAGAGGAAAGTGGCCTGCGGTGACGGCACCCTGGGGACCCCCGGAGCGTTGGGCACCTGTGGAGAAAGTTCAGGAATAGGCACAGGGTCCGGGCAGAGAAAGGACATCTTGCCAGTCCCTCGTGGCTTTATAGGTGCTGTCTACGAGGGGCCCAGAAACTCTAAGGGGATTGCCCAGGGTCATTCAGTAGGGCAGGCCTAGACAAGGGGTAGTGATCAAGTGCCAGTCTGGAACAAAAGGCAGGCACTGTGATGGTAGGTGGACCTGGGAGAGGGGGGTCAAGACCATCTGGGTGGTGGTCGGGCTGTTGTGTTCTGCGGTCTCGGACCTGGGCCAGACAAGTCTGTGGCGTATAACATGGATCCAAGAAGTCTCTCTCCCTGGTACAACTGGCACTGCCAGGGTTGGGAAGGAAGCCCAGCCTTCTCCATCTCCAGCCAGGGCCCTGGGGAGTCTGGTCGAGACTGGTCGCTCAGGTGGTGCCACACAAAGTGCTCCTGTCCAGACGTGGGAGTCACCTCACAAAGCAGCTTCTTGGGGGAGTCAGGTGACCCGAAGGATTGGGGAGTCACTGAGGGAATAAAAAAGAAAGGAAGAGATTCTTTTTTTTTTTTTTTGGAAGAGATTCTTTGGATGTCTGACTTCCTTCTATAAGATGACTGCGCCATCTCCCCGCCACCTTGTCTTCCTCTGGGTCCCCAAGTGTGAAGCTGGAAGTGCAGGGGAAGCAGGTGTCCTGACGAATTCTTCTCTCATCTCACCAAGGCAATGCTTTGGTCAGATCACGCTCTTACTCAACAACATTCCAGGCTCCCGACTGCCTTCAGGGTATTGCACAAGCTCACAGTGGCCCTGAAAGCCCACAAATTATCTTATATTTCCCTTCTTCTCAGCTCAGGACCCTTACCCTTAGCCAGAGGACGTCCCCCAGTAGATGCCTCATACCTTTCCTGCTTCATGGCGTGACTCCTATCAGTGTCCCGTCTTGAGGTGGCCCCTGAGTGTCCTCTCCTCCCCTCTCAGAATGCTCAGTGACCTCACCCATCAATCAGGAGGCACAGCCTTCTCAAAGCTGTCCAGTGAGAACTGGGATGGATAATACAAAAGCCAAACCAACCTGACTCCTGGCGACCCCTTGGGTCAGAGGAGAAATGCCTTCCCTGGGCCCTTCAAGGTGATGAGCTGTCAAAAGGCAAACCACCAGGTCTTTCTTCCAAGGTGCATCTGGGTAAACTCAAGGTGCCGACCTTTTAGTTAGTAGTTAAGGGCCAAGCCATTTGCACCGCCCGGAGATTCTTACATGGTGGAGAAAAACTCAACAGACAGACTGACAGCCTCGTCATGGAGTCGATCCCCCAGCCTGGCAGCCCGTACGAGACAGAGTAGACTGCTCCACTGGGCTCTCAAGGCCATGACCTTTGGGGAGCAAGTTGACAGGCATTTCTCCCATGGCACCGCGGGGCATGTTTGGTTCTAGTTCGTAACCAAGGGCACTTGGCTTACAGCACCCAGGGACTCTAAAACACAAGAACTCATTGCCACCACATCGATTCCAACTCCCAATGACCCTGTAAGGCAGAACAGAACTGCCCCTGTGGGTTTCCGAGACTGTGGGAGCAGGGAGTCTTGTCTTTCTCCCGAGGGGTCCTATAGAGCAGCTAAAAAGCCAAAACCAAAGCCACCACCCTCAAGTCAATTCTGACTTACAGCAACCCTACAGGACAAAGTGGGAAAGAGACTTGGCTTTCTACTCCCATAAAGAGTTACAGTCTTGGAAACCCACAGGGGCAGGTCTCCCCTGTCCTATGGGGTCGCTATGAGTTGGAATTAGCTTGATGGCAGTGAGTTTGAGTTTGATAAGATAGAGTAGAACTGCTATACAGGGTTTCCAATATGGTAAATTTTTACAAGGAGCCCTTGTAGTGCAGTGGGCTCGGCATTGGACTGTTAACTGCAAGGTTGGCAGTTCAAGTCCTTTAGCTGATCCTTGGGAGAAAGAGGTCACTGTTCCCATAAAAATGTACAGTCTCAGAAACACTCTATGGGTTGCTATGAGTCAGAATCAACTCGTTGGAAGTGTGTATGGGAAGTAGACAGTCTCCTCTCTCCAAGCAAGTGTGAACCACACGGACTTTGTGATTAGACTAACCTTGACGATGAGGCTGTCTACTCCCTCGTCTACTAATTCGTAGAGTTAGTCTCAGAAACCCAAAGGGGCAGTTCTCCCCTGTCCTCTGGGGTCCCTATCAGTCACCAGCCAAAAGGTTTGCATCAGCAGGAGGAGTAGGTGTGAGGGAAATATGGAGTTCAGCACAGACTGAGGTGTGGTGCAGTATCTAGGTAGAGAAAGCCAGGAAGCAGGTGGAAATGCAGAAAGATGTTTGTTAGCTTCTAATGAATAAACGTTGAAAGGCGAGGCTTTCTACTCCCATAAAGAATTACAGTCTCGGAAACTCATAGGAGCATTCTACCCTGTCCTATAGGGTCATTAGGAGTCAGAATCAACTGAACAGCAGTAAGTTTTATGAGTGAATGAATAAATGTATTCTTCATCAACCAATACACAGTATTAAGCATCTACTTTGTGCTGTTGGTGGCATAGTGCTTACACATTGGGCTAACCACAAGGTCGGCAGTTCGAATGCACCAGCCGGTCTGTGGGAAGAAAGATTTGGCTTTCTACTCCCGTAAAGAGTTAACAGTCTTGGAAACCCACAGGGGCAGTTCACCTCTGTGCTATAGTGTGGCTATGAGTCACACCTGACTCGATGACAGTGAGTTTTTGGGGTTGCGTGTGCGTGTGTCTGTGCTGTTCCTACTCAGCAGCCACAGGTAAAGACTGCAGGCATCGCCAAGCTGTCAAGGCTAATAGTTACCAAGCAGTCAGCACATCGTTTCTGAGTGTGTGTTTTCTGTGTTTGTTTTATACTGTCTTGGAAGCCCTTTGCTCAGTAAATATTTGCTGATTTATCAACTCCTCCCCAAATCCAAGCACCATCCTGCAACTTTCACCCCAGCCCTGGCCCCAAAGTGGGCCAGAATGATGGAAATGCATTCCACCTCTTTTGAACCACTCAGACTCTTCTTCTAACTGCTCAGACCCTCCCACCAATTCAGAGCAGAGGAGTCCCTTCAAGAACAGTGGAACGTTTATCTTGTGACTCAAGGGGGCATTTTCAGTTTCAGTTCTTTACAAAGGGGGTTAAAAAAGAGGAGGTCACAGTGGGCAGTCTCTGGAACTTGTGCCCAGTGCCTGGCATCAGGACTATGGATTTTCCCCATCTCTGCCCAGCCAGCCCCCACCCCGTGCCCTAGCTTCCCTGGGATGGGGCTCCCCTTCCCCACCTGGGGCTGACCTGTGATGACTGCCAAGGTCACGGTGGCACGGAGCTGCTGTCCCTGCAGTTGGATGGAGCAGGTGTAGGTCCCAGCCTGGGCCTGGCTCACAGCCTCGAGGCTAAGGGTAAAATTGCCATGGTCTCCAGCTACCTGGAGGTCTGGGCGTCCCCCAGGTGGGGCCCACTTGGCAGTGAGGAAAGACTGGGTCCCCGCAACAAGAGGCAGGCGGCAGGGCAGCTCCACCCTGGAACCCGCCCCCACATACACTGTCAGCGGGGCTGGGGGCTCCAGACCTGGAGAGAGAGCAAAGTCGCAGTTAGGAAAGGAAGGTGCAGGGGTGGTGGGGGGGCTGGGAAAGGGGCCGAGGCGCAGAGGAGGTGTGGCATGGGAACAATGTCTAAGGAGCTAAGAAACAAGAAAGGGTGGATAGACAGAGTGGGCTCAGAGGCAAGTAAGGCTGGATAGCGCAGGGCGGAGCTAGGCGGGAAGAAGTCGCCCCCGCGAGCAAGGGTTTAGACCAAGGGGGATGGGGGGGGGCTGCTGTGAACTTGGTTTGGGGATCCGTGCGTCAGGGGACAGGAAGGTTGTGGTCAAGTGTGAAAACCGACTGGAGGAATTACCCAGAACCGTGAGGTTGTACGTGGCGGAGACTCGGAGGCCATCTCTGTAGGTGAGGGAGCAGCTCCAGGGCCCAGAGTCTGCCGGGCCGACCTGAGGCAGGAAAAGGAAGCTGCCCGCCAGGTGGTGTCGGCTGGACTTCTGGACAGCGACCTGAGCTGGGCCTCGGAACCAGCGCACTGAAGCCGGGAGGTCAGGGCGGCTGCAGGAGCAGTGCAAGACGACGGACTCCTGGGTCTTCAGAGGTCCTGGGGAGCTGGCGGTCACTGTGCGTGGGGTAAATGATGCGGGGAGGGGGGTTCAGACCCATGGAAACCCTTTCCCAAGGAACGCAGCAGGCCAACCTGGAGCTTGGAGGAAGGGGCCTGCGCTTAAGATTCTTTGTGCCACCCCACCCGGGCACCGGAGATGCCCACTTTCCTATACCCCTGCCTCCATTACTTGCCCTCTGCTACCTGTCTCTTTCTCCAGCTCAGCCCTGGGGCGCCCTACTAAGCCCACCCCCAGGGCTACCCGCAGCTGCAGTGAATCACTCCAGCCCTGCGTCTCCCCACACGCCCTAGCCCCAGGTGAGGGAGCATTCTGGGTATCTGGGTATCTCCCTACACCCACTAAGGCATTCTCTCGTGGGGGGAAGGGGAGCTGGAAGGGTGACACAATCTCTCCATGGGGCCTTCCACCCATACACGTGCTTCTCTGGGGGTACCTCCTTCTCCACATTGGGGGGGGGCGGGCGCTACACCCTTTCTCTACCCCTCTGGCAGGGTCCAAGGCGCATGCCCAGAGGCCCCGCCCCTGCGACCCCTCCCTGGCGCCCCGCCCCCACTTGCCGGCTGCCTGGCCCACGCGCAGGCGGAGGCGGCAGGCGAAGGCGCGGTCCCTGAGGGTCACCGTGGCGCTGTACTCGCCCGCGTCGCTGCGCCGGGCTGGCCGCAGCCACAGCGAGAAGTCCCCGCGTTGGAGGGAGTGCGTCGCCAGCTGCACGCGGGGCTGCAGGGGCAACTGCCCGCTGCGGAGGCCTCCCGGGGCCACCCTCAGCACTGTGTAGCGGCGGGCTCTG